TAAACCACGGCCCACGGAGACCCTGCTTTCGCCGTCCTGCACCTCCCCTCGTGGCCCGGCAGCTGACGGATCTCGAACCCAGAGGGAGTGCACGGTAGATTGGGACGGAACCCGCCTGGGAGCGCAGCGATCAGTAGAGTTGCCAGCACCCAGTAGTCGTGGAGACCCACAGCAACGCGAAGAGCCAGGGACCCAAACAGCAGATACGGTGCGCGACCCGCCGCACCCCAGTGGCCTGCGGGAGACTGGCGCCACGCCCAGCAGCTGGCGCCCTGAGATCCTCGCGCACCCAGTTTTCAACTGATTAACTTAATACTTTCTTTCTCCCATCATATCTCCTGGGTGTCTATAATAGAGGTTTATTTATGTATCATTTTGCCAAACTAAAGAGGATGGATTAAAAACAACTCTTTGTCAGAAGCTGGGTCCAAAATTCAAGCCTCTTGCTTCCCAGAGGCCTGGGCCCCATCTGTTACAGACAGGCTGTATTGAAAGCCAGGAGTGGGATTCAGGATTGGTGTGCTCTGGGTGCCAAGAGAGCAAGTCTGTACAGCTCTGGAAAGCTCTGGACAGCTCTGGACGGTGCCTGGTTTCATGGCTTACCGCTCTTCATTTCCTACATACAGTCCTGTGTCCCAGGTCCTGGGTTTGGAACCCCTGAGACTCAAGAACCATATACACTGTCCTCCCGGAAGTGAGAGCTTCATACACAGAGGATTTATAACATGGTGTGATTGGCGCTATGGTGGGGAGGAGGCAGCAGGATGCCCAGAGGAGGGCAACAGGGGCTTTCATGTGAGGCTTCTCAGAGGAGGGCTCTGGGAGACACTGTTCTGTAGGAGCAGGTGACAGTGGATGAGGAAGATGAGACACACCAGCCTGGGTGGAGGTTGAGCAGCAGGCAGCTGCCCTGTGCTGTTTGGGGATATGTGAGTGAGTGGATGTGATGTGGCCTACAGTGTGTGACCGCGGCCTGGGGTGTGTGAAATGATTCTTCTATATTACTCTGTCCATATCAGCCTGGTGGTACTTCGAGGCCCACCTGGGCCCTGCAGGGCTGGACACACTGACAGGCACACTGTGGTATGGAGGCCCCACTGTTCCACTGAGGGCAGGGCTGGACACACAGGCAGGCAGGGGGTTGGATTTCTGTGGTGTGGGAGTCCTACTAGGGAAGGGCTGGCTGGCTGGTGTAGCCAGCCAGTGTCAGGATGAGCAAGATGGGTGCTATCTGTGCACAGACCCCTCTCACTATTGTCCCCAGCATCACCTGTACGGAGGAACGGGAAGCCCGGGCCTTGTTGAGCGTCCTCCTGCGTTCCCAGCGGTGGATGGAGTCCTGCACCTCTACACTCAGCTGTCTGGTCACTGTGATCTTGTCATAGTTCTTGATGTGCTCCAGGGCCCCGTAGGTGGTGGTCAGATAATAGGAACCTGTGGGGCCAAACCACAGTGAGGGAGGGGCTCTGAGCTTGCTAGTCCCACATACTGCTTCAACTGGCCCACTTGGCTCAGCCACCAGGGGGCGTCCACACTGTACAACCCGTTTTTTATTTTATTTATTTTTATTTTATGTGTATGCGTGTATTGCCTGAATGTAGGTAAGTGCACCTGCGTCGTGCAATGCCCGTGGAGGTCAGAAGAGGCTGTTGGATCCCCTGGGACTGGAGTTATGGATAGTTGTTAGCTGCCATGTGGGTGCTGGGATTCGAACCCAGGTCTTCTGCAAGAACAACCAGTGTTCTTAACTGCTGAGCCATCTCTCCAGCCCTGTGTACAACCTGTTTTAACCTGTGTTTTACAGTCTACCCCACTGCTCAACTTCTGAGCTCCCTTCAGGAAGAAAACAGAGAGAGAGAGAGAGAGAGAGAGAGAGAGAGAGAGAGAGAGTCATTATGTGGCCTAGAACATTTTATATAGGACCAGGCTGGCCTAGAATTCATAGAGATTCACCTGCCTCTGCCTTCTGAGATTAGAGGTGTGTGCTGCCACATCTGGCTAATTCATAGAGATTCACCTGCCTCTGCCTTCTGGGATTAGAGGTGTGTGCCACCACATTCTGGCTAAGGATATTTTTTCAATGTGGCCACATTGGGAAGAGGGATAAAGAGCTCCAGTGACTCTCCAAAGTCTGTCTTCCACACTTGGCATTTTTTAATATGATGTTCTAAAATAAGCATTTACAGGGGCTCAGCGGTTACGAGCACTGGTTTTTCTTGCAGAAGACCCAGGTTCAAATTCTAGTACCCACATGGTGGCTAACATTCATCCCTAACTCCAGTTCCAGAGGAATCCAACACCCTCTTCTGACCTTTGTGGGCACTGCATGACACAAGTACACTTACGTACATGCAGGCAATACACTCATACATACAAAATAAAATAAATAAGTAAAATATTTAAAATAAACATTTAATTTAAATTGAGGAGAGAGAAGAAACTGAGAGACATGGATGTTTGAGGTGGACAGAAGGTGCAGGGAGTCAGATGGGAGGGCATTGTGTCCTACCTGTGTTTTAAAGTGTTGAGCCCATGCATGTATTGTATGTTGTGCAAACAATTTTCAAAGACATACAGAAATTTTAGTTATTTCAGGCAGTTTTTAACTATTTTAAATAGTAAAAAATTGGATACAGTTCTCCATTAAAACATTTTTATTACACTTTTACTTCTTTATTTGGGTGTTTATTCCTATAACTTCTACAGCCAACATGAGTCAAGTTCACATCTTGGCCAGAAAGGATGGGGGTAAGATAAAGGGACTGTGGCCACAGGATCACACTACGGTACAGCATATAGAAATATGTCTCTCAACACTAACATGGAAACTTACTTGGTCCCTAATGGAAGAAGGACTAAAGCCATCCCGGCCCTCCCTTCCTCCCTTCTTTGTTAAGTTTGAAGTCCAAGTGGCCAGGAAACTCCCCTTGGTGCCTCCTGCTCTTGATGTGTCAAGAATCCTTGATCTGGTGGCACAGACCTGCGTCCTGCCCCTGGGGGTCCAGGCTGTGGTGTGAGGAGGGCAGTGCATAGTTGAGAATGCTTTATTTCTCAGTCACAGGGCAGAGCTGGGCACCCCGGAGAAGCCACTCACCTCCCTAACCCGGTTTCTTCATCTGAAAATCCCATAATGTGTTGTGAAAAATGTAATGAATCTGTGTGAGGGGCAGGATTTAGCCATGCGTGGATAATGCATGGTTGTTCATGACCCCAGGCGGTAGTTCTATAAGTTCTGGCCCTCTTAGGGTCAGTAGGAAGAAACTCCAAACCCTTGTTCCTGCTTTCTTGCCTGCTCAAGCCCTACACATCCAGCGTGGACCTTTTAGCCATTTTCTTTGATTGAGACTATGCAGTGCCGGCTATGACCACTAGATGGCAGAAAACACCACTGTGAGTTTTGGGGATATCTCAGCCAGTATGTGGTCTGTCCATTGACTGGAAAAACCCTCTGGTAAGATTAGCAGCTGTCCGCCAGCCTCGGGGAGGAGGCAAGAGCAAAGGGGTCTATGAGGGCACTCGTGAGAGAGCTTTGGATTCTGGGATTGCTCCAGCCAGGTAATTTCTCTTGAGATAGGGTGTGGGAGCGAGGGGTGGATCTAGAAAGGGGTAGAGTTCCACCAGCCTTCCTTTCACCTCACAGGAGGCCCCCTGATCTCTCCTGGTCCATATGCCTGATGGAAGACCATGGGACCCAGCCACCAGAGCTGTGCTAAATCACACCACACTGTATAGGCTGGAAGGGGCAGGAGGAACAGGTAGGAGGCATAGTGGCCACGGTGTGGACACCTGCACGGAGCTCCTTGCTCTTTTGCGCCTTCCCTGGGTTCCCAGGACTTTGAGGACATTGTCTCAGGGTGGCTGTCTCTTTCAGCGGGGTTTGGAGGTGCCTTCTCTCTGGGCATATCACACCTGCAGTTCACAGCTATGGCGGCAGATTTGGAAAACCAAGTGAAGAGAAGTTGCTAACTGCTCTGTGCCCAGGGCTTTCTTGAGTCACTGGGTCCCCTGCTGCCCAGCCTTTCACAGTCCACATGAGACTGGATGTTATGTGATCTTGTCTGCTTGTCTAAACCCCAGCTGGAACAAAACTCCATGAAAAACACTGCCCCTGGGTGCAAAGTAGAGGCTCAGTATCTTTTCAGTGAATGAGTAAAAAGGGGCCTTTGCCCAGGTTCCCATGTGAGGAGTTTTAGTCTTTTTCTTGTTGATACACAAGGGCCTTTTACATATTAAGGTCGTTGATTCTTGCTGTACTGATTTGTAGGATTGAAAACCTCTTGGTTTACTGTTAGTATCTTCTACCTGTGGTCATTTTGTCCCTTGGTGCTGGGATGGAACCCAGGACTGTGCACATAATAGGCTATCACTCTGCCACTGAGAAATCCATGCTTCCTCCCTTTCTGAGATTTTGTCTCTAGCCCTATGGCCATTGTTTGCATGGGAAAGTTTTAACATTTAGAGGTTGTGTATAGCAGTCCTAAGACCACAATGAAGATTCTAGGAGACCATTGGATGGGCTGGTGTCACTCTTAAGGGACCCTAAGAAATGGGGTGCCCAGGATTTGGGTTCATGACTTTTACTGTCTTCTAACCCTCTTATGTTCTTTCCTCTTAGTGTGATGCAGGCCGGTACTGATTGGAGGCCCTTGCCTACCTCCTTAGCTTCTGGGTGTTTCCATGGGCTTGAGTAAGCCCAAGAGGAAGCCCTGAGGAAGTGGAGGCCCAAAGTGTGGGTGAAAGGTGAGGTGCTTGCTCATTCTCATGAGGTTTTAGTCTTGTCTGTTTTGATCTGAAACCCAGTGTGTGACATGAATGAATTCAATGGATACACGGGTAGACGGATGGATGGATGGATGGATGGGTGGGTATGCAGGGGGTGAGTAAAGAGGTGGGCAGATGGCTGTAGAGATGAGTTGGTGAGTAGATAGGAGGGTTTATAGATAGATGGTTCATAGATAGATGGATGGACAGACTGGTAGGTGGATGAGCAGGTGGATGGGTAGATGAATGTGTGGATGGATGGACTGGTGAATGGATAAGTGGGCAGATGGGTAGATAAATGGATTGGAGAATGGACTGGTGGATGGAGAGATGGATAGGTACATAAATGGGTGGATAGCTGGGTAGATAGGTAGATAGACTGGTGAATGTATGTATGTATGAATGGATGGGAAGGTGAATGGATCAGTGGTTTAAAGGTAGGCAGACAGGTAGGTAGATGGATGGGTAGATGGTTTGTAGGTAGGTAAATGGGTAGATAAATGGATAGATGGATAAGTGGATGAATGGATGGACAGGTGGGTGATGGGTGGATGGACAGATGGGTGTATAGGTAGACAGATGAATAGATTGGTGGGCAGGAATGATGGATAGATGGATTGATGGACTAAACAAAGTTTGCTTCTCTTGAATTCCTGGACTTCCTAGAAGGCAAGTTGCTCCAACTGCAGGAAACATTTAACTAAAGAGGGAAAAGAGGTAGTTCAGGGTTCCACATCCACAAGCCAAAGCTGCACATCACAGCAAAGTTCGTGGCTTTCCCTGCTCCCCGAGCCATGAAGACCTCAAAGAAGCACTTACGTCAGACGTTCCACCCCAGAGATGGGTGGGCAGATGCAAACAAATGCAAAGAGGGTCAGCTGCTCTCAAGAACCACAAAGCCCAAAGGGGACACTCCTGCCTGGGAGACTAGCTCCATCCTTGAGGTGGCGGCCCAGAGGGCATGTGGGGCACCTCATCGTCCATAGTGGGGCTGCTGTATCTCAAGGGATTCTTGGTGGAGGAGTGGGTGAGGCCTTGGCCTGAGAAAATGGTGGGGAAGAGAACAGGGGAAGGGAAACTGAGGGTGGGGTGTAGCAAATCACACCCTCCTTCATCTAACCAAGGAGCGCAGGGCCCCTGACATCTCAGTTACTTCCTTCTATGGACAGAGGTCTTGACCAGGGCTGGACAAGAGGGGCCTAGAGTCCCAAGAGGCTAATCTAAGAACTGCTTCTTTCTCCTGTCACACTTGTGTGGACACTGCCTGCTGTGTTAGCCTAACCATTTACACTACCAACTCCTGTTGCACTCTCCAGGAGGAATTGTGCTCCGTTTTTAAATTTGAAGGCTCCTGCTCGCCCTTCAATGCCCAGCTGTTATTAACTCCTCCAGGTACCCTCCATGACTACACTCTGTTTGGGTAGCATGTTCCCAGTCCTTCTGAACTTTCCACCATCCCAGCTCTCAGTAGGCAACGGTGACATTCTCCTCCCAGCCCCTCTGTCCTTCTGGCTGGTGTGGGGTGCACAGGTGCATGTATGTTCCTAGGGCTTGCTGGGTTACCTGGCTTGGGAGTGGGCAATGGGCCTGGGTGGCTTGGAGATGGTGGTAGGTGTAGGGATGGTGGTGACTCACCCTCCCCAAGCTGCAAGGCAGGGTCCATGAGCTCCATCATGTACTCCACATTGAGAAGCATCTCAGTGAGGTTGCTGCGGGCCAGCACATACATGAGCACGGGCAGGAAGTCGTCGGCCCCATAGGGCTTCCCTGCAAGGAGACCAGGATGAAGGCTATGACAGCCAGGCCCCTGTGATCTGCTCCTCACCCAGGATGGGAGGCCACCCTGGAAGAAGAAAGTTCCTGCACCCTCATGAGTCAACAGTGTGGACCCTGACGACTCTAGGATCAGCCTCCTGGTGGGCCTGGTTGGGAAGAAGGAACCAAGAAAGAGCTCTGGGCTGTGGTGACAAGAAGACCCTGGCTCCTTGCCCTTTCCTGGCTCCTCCCTGTGGCCTCTCCGGGTTGCTTGCTGAACCATCAAGTTCACATCGCACTTAATTCACAGGCTCACCGCTGCTGTAAGTGTGCCTTCAGGGAAGGCTTCCCTCCCCATTTGCACAGAAGTCCCCCTTAGTCCCCCTGCAAGCCTGATTTCCCACCACGGCCCATGGCCCCATAATCTCACTGTTTGAGACTGACTACTGCCCCCAAGATCTATCCCTGCCTGTAAGATCTAGCACTGCCTCTAAGACCCACCACTGCCCCTGGGACCCATCAATGTCCTCCAGGACCAACCATAGCCCTGAGACCCACCACTACCCTGAGACCTACCACTGTCCCCGAGATCCACCATTGCCTCCAAGATCTGCCACTGCCGGCAGACCACCCTGACCCCCATATGTGTTCTCAGTGGACTGCAGGGTCAGGGTCAAGGTCACAGGACTGGAGTTTGCCATAGTGTTATACAGTGTTACACAGTGTTATACTGACAGCCACTTCATAATAGTCTCTCAAATGGAAAACCAGAAACAGAAACTGACCTATAGTGTTGGCCAATTTCCATGATGTAACTGTCTCCACAGTAGCCAATTTTAAGCTGCAGACATGAACAAGGAGTTGGAAAAAGAGAGGCTTCATTTGCTCACCTGAGCTGGTATGTGTGGGCTCTAGCATACCAATGGCCTTAGATGCAACAGGTTTAACCTCATGGGCAGGACAAGGTTCAGAGCTGGGAGGCCTGTGCTCAAAGTCCTGTGCTGGTCACTGGTGGGACTAGATCTGGGTCTTTTTTCCTGATGTAGGCAAGGAGTGTGTCCACAGGCAGTGTGGCCTGATGGGTGCTCAAAGACCAGCGCCAATTTTGAGCACAGTTGGAGTGCATCAGCACAGGCTGTGCACAACAGGCCTCAGGCAGTGCCCCCTGGGGTGCTGGGCATGGCTGTAAAATGATTCTCCTGTGATCCAAACATCTGGCTTGTGTGAACACCTGGCTGGTGTGAGCACCTGGCTTGCGTGGATCAGAGCTCACACTCTGTCAGTGGAATCTGTGTTTCTTAGTGGCTTTACCTTCTGTCTCTTCCAGCTCCATCTGCTTACCATCTGTGGGCATACCAGTGAGCTGATCATACTACCAAGAGCTGGCAGGGGCCTTCTGAGCATTTCATGGGCTGGGGGGCTTTGGAGAAGGGAGCTGGAGACACGGCTCAGCAGTTAAGAGCACTGGCTGCTCTTCCAGAGGACTCAGGTTCAATTCCCAGCACCCACATGGCAGCTAACAATCACCCATAGCTCCAGTTCCAGGGGATCTAACACCCCCTTCTGGTCTCTTTGGGGCATTGCACACACATGATGCATTTACATATATGTATGCAAAACACTCATACACATAAATAAAAATTAAAAAATATTTTTAAAAATCCCATGCAGAACTCTGTATGTGAAACAGGTCTGTCGGGGCTGTTGGAGGTAAGGCTGGTCTGGGGTTCGTTTGTCTGTGTTCCATTTAGAGGGCCACCAGGATGCCTCATGGAACCCAGCATGGAATCCACAATGTGGTTCCTAGGTAGATAGAACAGGGTGGGGAGTGAGGTTCCCAAGATTCATCAAGATTGACATATCAAAGAAACCGATGGCAGAAGAAGGCTGGAAACCCCTCCCACTGCAGGCTACCAAGCCCAGTGATTTCCAAATACAGAGGGGGGCACTATGTAAATGACCTATGCTCCGGACCTCAGGGCCTTGAACCTTGAACCTTTCCCAGTTTTCTGGCCCACTTGCCTTTTTCTTTTTTTCTTTTTATTATTTTTATTTTATGTATGAGTGTATTGCCTGTATGATGTAAGTGCACCTGTGCCATGCAATGTCCGCAGAGGTCGGAAGACAGCACCAGATCCCCTGGAACTGGAGTTACAGATGGTTGTTAGCCACCATGTGGGTGCTCTTAACCTCTGAGCCATCACTTTGGCCCCTCCTCACCTTTTTCTTAGGAAACTATATTTCTAATGCTATCCATGTGTCCCTGGTCCAGTTCTTTGCTCCAGTACAAGAACCTGAAAGTTTCAGTGGGTGCTCTCTGGACTCTGATCCCTGCCTGTAATAGTTTAGTTTCCCCATTCCCAGCAATGTGGTGGGCACAGTGACCCCTGCACTCCACCATCAAAACACGTAGCCTGAAAATGGGAAAACTCAAGCCAGGGGATAACCCCAAAGTCCCTGGCTATCTGGAGACTTCCCAGAGACTGTTTGACCCAGGTACCCACATGCTGCCCATGCAGAAGCCCCACAAGTCTACTATCCAAAGCTAGGGTGCAGAAGTAAGGTTCAGACCCAGCACAGGGGGTAGGGGGGCGGGTGCTCCCTCCTTCCCAGTGAAGATGCTAAGGCCCCAAGTGGGGCAGCCCAAGATGGAGTTAAGAGCCCCTGGGCTCCCGTTCCAGTGTTTAGCCTTGATTGAAGGGGAACCTGCTGTCCCTTGATAAGACCCCCACTGGCTTCTGGTGGGAGAACTTTGCATCAGCCCAGACCCTGGCCCAAGCCTTTTAGCTCACAGCCTCTGGCCTGGACTGCCTAAACCAGTGGAGGATGCAAGCCTCAGGTCCTACTGGCTCTATTCTGTCCTCCCCTCTCCCTGCTGTATCTGACACCACCCACCATGGTCACACTGCCTTCTTTCTTCCTCTCTCCTCATAGCTGTCCAGTCCCTGTTCTCAGGGCAAACTTTCAGTAGCTGAATTCATGGTTAGCAATGCTCACAGTGTCTGCATGGTCCTCCCTGTGACTAGCTTTGTAAAAGAATTAAGGCAGTCTTGGCCGGGTGTGGTGGTGCACACCTTTAATCGCAGCACTTGGGAGGCAGAGGCAGGTGGATCTCTGTGAGGTCGAGGCCAGCCTGGCTACATAGTGAGTTCCAGGCCAGCTGGGGCTACAGGGAGACCCTGTCTCAAAAAACAAACAAACAAACAAACAAACAAACAAAAAGCCAGTATTTAGGCAACTGGATTAGAGAGAACGGAACTACCCTGTTTCTACCGGAGCTGTGTGGCCTCCCTGATAATGCCTCAGCAACATCAGCAGAGCCCTTTGTCTTGATTTTGAGTCCTGAAAGGCCCATGAGAAATGATCCCCCAGTTAGAAACAGTCACAGGTCAGAGATGTAGTTAGCAAGTATGAGGTGCGGCTAATGCGCTAACCACAGTCCACCTGATCCCATGTACACCTCATGCAGGAGGACATTGAGGCTGGTTCCTTCATCTCCTGGGCAGTCAGCAGAAGAAGCAACAGAGCCTGGAAGGACTTCTGGGTCTGGACCTCCATGTCTGTCCCACTCAGACCGCAGGCCAGCATCTGCTCTTTCTGAGACAGCCCTAGCAAAGGGCTCTGGGGGCTCTGTGTCCTTTCTGGCTTGTTCGAGTTGCATTGCTTCTCTCCCACATGCATGCAGGACACCCCAGGCTGCCATACCTGCTGCTCTGAGATGATCCTGGCTTGTTTTCCACTGGCTACAAGGGGGCCCTAACGTTCGTCTTCGTGTTGTTGCTGTCAGATCTACTGGGTGCCCTTCTGGGGCTCTGGGCCTCTGGGGCTGACTGCCACACTCTCCTAAGGCTCTGATTCTGGAGGCTGCTTACTGTTGTTGTCTTCCATCTTTGGAAGGAGAGATTCAGTTGTGTTCACAGCCTGGTGCTGTTTCCTGGTCTGCAGACTGCATAGGATCCCTGACCTCCAAAGAAAACCTTTCCCAATACTCTTGCTTCTGACCATACTTCCACCATGACAACACAGACAATGTGTGGTTCTAACTCTGGGTGGCACCTGCCCTCTGGGATCTCTATTCATTTCTCAGTGCTAGGACACAAATGTACTTAACACCAAAATGTACTTTCAATCTAGACCTGCAGCCTGTGCCAGGCCCATAAGGGAAGCTGGCTAGTGCTAAAGGATTCTGCTTCAGGCCCCAGTGCCACACCAGCAGCTGCTTTCTGTTGGAGCAATTGGCCTGCTCATCCCTAAGGGATAGGGAGAGGAAGAGGAGCCTTGTCAACCAGTTCTAGTATTGTACTTGCTGGTGCTGGGCACCAGGGTCTCCAATTACAAAAAGATGTTTCTAATATCCACAAGTATCTGAGAATGCCTCTGGCCCACTAGGAACTTGAATTTTCCTTTCTAAAGAAGCCTCTTCACATGAGGAAATGGAGCCTTGAGGGGTTAAGTGAATCATTCACAAAAGAAGTGACAGACCAGGAATTTGAATCAAGGTCTGGGAGGTCACAGTAGTGACACTGTCCCCTCTCTGTTACCGTCGTTGGCATGTGCGAGCTACACAGGTCGTTCATACTACCAGGGCATTTGGCTAAAGGGCTGATTGGGAGATGAACTCCAGCCAGCATTTTATTCATTGTGGTGCACAGGTCCCTTTTCCCGTGTGCCTACAGGAGTGTTGTGGTAAGCTGATAACAAATGGGCCTGGCGCTCTTCCTCTATCCCTACAGATCCTCTGTGTGCACATTGTGACATGGAAACTCTTTTTACTCAGAGTGTTTCCTTACCCCTTGAATCTGGGTTCATCTCATAACTAAACAAGCCAGTGGAAAGGGTTAGAATGACATGGTGTCAGTATAGGCCAGGCCTCAACAGGCTTTGTTCACTGCCCTGGACCCCAGCTGGCCATGTGCACAAGCCTGGGCCAACATGTGAGAGGCTGAGGACCTCATGGCCCTGAGGTCCATCCAGATAGCCCACAACCAGGCACCTACCAACAGATAGGCCTGGCCATCTCCCACCAGCCACTCCAGCTGACAATGGGCAAGCCCAGGAAAGCCTGGCAGACTGACCAAACAATAGAATTGCCTAGCTGATCTGTGGTCCAGTCAGCTACCAGATCAGCTACCTGATGTCACAGGCCAAACTTGTCCCTTCAAGTTCATACATGCTAAAGAGCCAATGTTTAGTGCCTAAGAAGGTGACCTTTTTTGGAAGTGGGGCCACTGTAGATGTGATTGGTCAAGACGAAATCACACTGGAGCAGGGCGGTCATGATCCACTATAGCCCACGTCCTCATTAGAGGGAAATGTGGACATAGCACATGGGAGGTGGCTGGGTGCAGACACTGTGGGATGCCCAGGGAATGCCTCCCGCCCTTGTCCTCCCCTGGTTCTGCAGGAGGGTCCTGTCCCCCATACCTGGGTTGCCGAGGGCCATGGAGTCATAGATGATCTTGCATGTCTTCAGCAAGATGGAGATCTTCTTCCCTGGTGAGTAGGCCTTGTGCATGTTGGTCAGCTTCTGCAGGATCTTCTCCATGACGGCCACCTCAGGCACACTGGTGGTCACACCCAGGTCAGTGGTGGTGGTAGCCAGGATCACCAGCTGGTTGTCCTTCAGCTGCTGCAGAGAGCCATCCCGGGTGTGGATCTCTAACAGGCTGCAGTTGATGGCCTCCTTCAGGGGCTTTAGGACGCACTTGTACAAGGCCGACTCCACAATGGCCTCTGTGGGGTGAGACCTCAGGGTGAGGAAGGCAGCTGCAGGGGCCCAGCAGCATAGCACTGGCCCAAGAGCCTCTGGGGACTAAAATCACTGGTCATTCCAATGTAGTGTTTTTCCCAGGGTTGGGCACAGAACCTGCCTACAAACACATTCTTTGGAAGACACAGACATATTTTCGTTGTACAGTATACAACCTAGGCAGCTGTGTGCTGTGGGCCTTTGGTGCCCGGCAAATGCTTGGTGGAACTATTATTGATGCCTCTTGTACTTCCCAAACCCAGATGACTCTAGTCTCAAAACAGGGGTCTATTCAGAACCTGACTTCTCATCACTCTCACGGCTACCACCAGCCTAGGCTGGTCAGGCTGCCACCATGTTGACTCTTGCCTGATTTATATCAATAGCTTCTTGCCCCGACCCTTGTCTGTTCTTCACATAGAACCAGTGCCATCCTGTCATGACACGGGGACATTTCTGGGCTCAGACACCTGCCACAATCCTCAGGTCTTCTCCTCTGGCTGATACTTTCTCTAGCTTTTCTATGCTGCTCCTCCAGCCTGCCAGGCCTGCCTGTGTCCCAGGGCTTTGCACCTGCTCTCATTGCCTCACAGCTATTCACATGGTTTACCCTTTACCATTCAAATGTTTTCTGAGATCTGATCAACCTGTAGGTGGGGAGTTAGTGAGCTTTGATCTCATGATAAGTGCTTCTCTAAGGATAAATAGCTTAGGCTGTGATGGGGCAGGTGGAGGCTAAGCAAAGCTTTGAAATTCTATCTGTTCAGTACCACCATGATGCCAGGTGTTCTGGGTGACAGAAGGAAACATTCTCAGGAAGCTGTGTTGGCCCTATCCCATCTCTAGAGAGGGTCTTGGCTATTAGCCCAACAAGGCAAGGCTGGACAACTCTTCCCTGCCATATAAGTCTGAGTTGGGGGCCACTTCTGGCTGTCCTGTGCCTCCCTACGTCCCTTCACCTAGAGAATGTACACTTCCTGTCTCAGCCAACTCTTAATCCATCCCTCAGAGCCCAAAGAGCACTGACCTGGAGGCAGAGATTTCTACCTCGGGCTGCCCTGAACTCCTGTATAACCTTGCCTGTGGTTCTTCCCTTTCAACAGCAGACTGTTTTCCACATTTGCAGAATGTGAGGGCTGTCATGTCCTTAGGTCCCAAGTGTCTGAGAGCATGGGGTCTCCTGTAGCCAACCGTGCCTGGCCTGTGTATCAGCTACTTCTTGTGCCTATTTCCCTGATAAGCCAGAAGCACACCAAGAGTCCTCCTGCCTTCTGTGCCTGAGGTTCTGCCCAGCTCATTGCACACAGGGCAGAGTGGGTGGTTCAAAAAGCAGGCACATGTCTGGTCTGAGCTTGGGTCTCCCACTGGACTGTGTCCTTCTGACCTAATTGCTGGGCCTCTGTGCACCATGGTTGAAAGGCTTCTGTCCACTGATGGGGCCTCTCCTGCCATCTGCAGTGCCAGCACTCCCAGTCCTTGGTGATCCAGCTCAGCAGCCATGTTCTCCCTGCCTGAAACCTCTGCCCACACTCAAGCCCATGGCAGGCTCTGGGGGCACCATACCACATTACACAAGTCTAGTGCCCGTCGGCATCCTGAAAAAGTGTCCTTGGAGACCCCAGGGGGTGTCTGTGTCCTGCCAGCTGGCCACCCTGGGGTTACTGTCATCCCATTGCTTCTGACAAGGCCCACCTGGCAGTGGTTTCCTTTGCTTTGTTCAGGATTACCTGTACTGGTGGGATGGTTTCTACCTACTGCTTCATTGACAGGATGTAGAATCACCTTGGAGACCAGTCTTCTGGTATGTCTGTGAGGGAGTTTCTAGATTAGGTTAACTGAGGTGGGAAGACATACTCTGAATGCCCATTGGATGGACTGAGTCCCAGACTTTATAAGAGGGAGAATGCGAGCTGAGCATCAGCATTCAAGTCTGCTTCCTGTGGACCAATGTGAGCAGCTGCCTTATTCTCCAGCTGCCATGCCTTCCCCACTGTGATGGACTGTATCCTCAAACTCTGAGCAATACCCTTTTATCAGGTATTTTGTCATAGCAGTGAGAAAGGTAAGTAATACAGCTGGCCCTGCCCTGTCCTCCTGCTGAACCAGTCCCAGCTCATAATCCCCTCCTCTGAGCCCTGCACACACCCTCTGGGATCCATCACCTCCAGGTCAAATTCTCAGCCTGACTTTCACAGCCTGACCTGAGTGGCCCCATCATCCTCCTGCCGCATCTCTCACCTCTCTACCTACCTCTACAGCATCATCTCTGCCAGGAAGAATCTTCTCTACAGCTCAACCCCCTCTCACTTCTGCTTAGGCCACAGCTATTATCTTTCTCTGTTCTGGCAGGCACGGCTAACCACAACTTCCTCTGGGCTGCTTGAGCTGTCTATGTCCTTCCACACCCTCCTTTTCTGTATTCTGCCTGGAGCTCTGCCCTGAGCATGATCTCATGGTTGTTTGTGTGTTGTTGGGTTCCAGTCCACACACTCCCCAGAGCTACAGACTCAGTCTCAGTGGCCTCCACACATTCCTGTCTAGATGTCCAATGAGGACATCTGTCCCACACTAGCTCCCTGCCTCTCATAAGCCATATGAAGCCAACCAGGCCTGCACCTACTTCCATGGACCAGATCTGTGCTTACTGTGCCACCTGTGCCACCCCCCAACCCTGCCCTAGGCACACCTCACTATGACAGTAGCCTAGCACACCTCTGTCTCTCTGCTCCTGCTGGGCTCAAGGGCCAGAGCCATGCTGAACATGCTAGAGGTCCCAGCACTCCTGCCTTGAACCTGCCATAGCTTATGTCCCTTGCAGAAATGCCAAGTCTTGGGAGCCATGGTGCTGTGCCCTGCCTCCTCCAGACCTTACTTTCTGCTTGCTCTCTATTCATGTCACCTCACTTTATAGCTTCCTGGCTTTCTTGTAGATTGCCTGTCACTTGTCAGAACATGAGGTCCCTCAGGGCACACGGGACTTGTGATTCCCCTTGCTCCTGTGTGTTTTCCACTATAGCAGCTGAGGAGGAGCTGGAAACACACTGCTCTGACTAGCAACTTATGCAACTTCCTCCCCTCCCTAGATGAGCTCCATGGGGGCAAGGCCTGAATTGCTAGGACGTGGTAACCATCTATGGAAAAAGTCAGGGGCTGTGTGGGTGGCCTTACCACGTTACACCCTGAACACCCTGCCTAGGTGAACCTTCTACCCGAGTGGGATGTACATTACAACCCTGGTTGCTTGAGGAGGCAGCTGCCAGTTGTAGACCTCAAACTCATCTCCCACCACCACATTACAGTGCCTCAGTACTGTGGCCTGGCAACGCTATCAGTCTTCATGACCCAGCCGTCAAGCCCAATCTCCCCCTGCAGGTGATAACTAACACTCTTTTTTCAAGGAACTCTCACTAGAAACCATCATCCTACAGATCCCCAAAGCTCCATTTCCATCTCCAATAATGATGCTCTTAATTACTGGAAGGGGGAGGAGAGGGCTCAGGCCCCCCCCCCAGAGGTGGTACTTGGAGGGATGGGGCAGCAATGTTTATCAGGTAATTCAGAAACTTCTCAATACGTTTTTGTTTTATTGTGTTGTGTTTTGAGACAAGGTAGCCCAGGCTGACCTCCAGCTCACTATGTAGCCGAGAATGGCCTTGAACTCCTGATCTTCCTGCCTCCACCTCTCAAGTGCTGGGATTATAGGTGGATGCTACCATGCCTAACTACAACACTGTGATGGGATTGAATATTTCTAATACTTACATAGGTGTATAGGTGACTAGAATGAAAAAATAATACCTGCCACCATAAACCCCAATCACAGAGAGGTTTGGTAGTCACTGGGTTAGAAGCTGGTGGGACAGGAGGGCTGGTGGGTTGAATGAGAGCGGTGGACATGGCAGTGAGCTGTCCTGGGTTGGTTTCTAGAAGAAGAGCTTGAGAGAGGGATTTGGGCTCAGGAGATCTATGGGACAGTAGGGGAGGAAGAGTGAGATGATGGGATGTAGCAAGGAATGGCTTGAACAAAGATGAGGTCTTGGCTGTAGCTGGGGGTGGGGGCAGAGACTGCACCATAATGACTCTACCTTCAGGGAGCAGGCCCAGTTTTTAGCTTCTCCTCCTATGGCAGGAGGCAAGAAAGTATAGGCTGATGGTGGAGGAGAGGGTGTAGGCAACGTGGCCCCTATATGACTAAACGACATTCTAGAAACTGGGGTAGCCACATACCATTAGCACACAATCCATCCTGTAGGAGGTAGAGATGGGCATATATGCCCAGGAAAGGATGTAAGGGAGTCCCTTGTGCCCACTGCAGAGGCTGCTTTGAGTCTAGGGGTTCCTGAGTCTACCCTTTCCCTCCCATCCTCCCAAGCTGGTCACTGACCGAGCTCCTCCTCTGAGTGCAGGGCGGGCTCCACCAGGGCCTTGAGTTCGGTGCTCTGCAGCAGGTAGCTCTTGAGCTGCGTCATCATGGTGCGGATCTCCTGTAGCATCTCAGTACTGGATGCCTGACGTGCCATCATCTCCAGGCTGTACACCTTGTAGTCCTGCACCAGGCTGCCGAAGTACGAGCCCTTGTCCTGTGCTAGTTCTACCACCTTCTTGTACAGCTTGCGGTCACTGGAAAGGAAGGCATGGAAGACGCTGGCAAAGCTGACGAAGCTGAGGCGGTGGCGGGCCTTGTCCAGGATCATCGAGGGCTTCTTCTTCACACTGGGGCTGCTGAACTCCAGCTCCTCCTCTGCACTGCTGGTTGAGTAGGAGTCCTGGTCAGTGGCTGAGGCAGGCACCCCCAAGCTGTCTGAGAGTGAGGCCAGTGAGCCCTTGAACTCTGGAGAGCTGTGGGGACAAGTGCTGGCCTGGAGATGCTGCGTTCCAGCTTGGGGAACAGGACTTGAACCTTCCCCAGGTGCACCAGGCGTTGGTTTCTCTGAGTCTGTCTCCCGTGTGGGGTACTCAGGACCTTCCATGGGACTGGGGAGCGTAGAGGCCAGCTGCCGGGAGACCCGCTTCTTCCTGGGGGGTGGAACTGGGGGCTGCCTGGCCTTCCCCGGAAGCACTGGCATAGATATGCTGTCAGGATGGCTGGCTTTGGCTTCTGTGTCCTGGCCTTGCTCTGTGGTCCTTTGAGGCTGGTCCTCAGGGATGTTTGAGGTGCTCTGGAGAGAGAGGCTCAGCGAGGCTGTCCTGGAAACACCCAGGTGGTCGCCCTTTGCCACCATGTCCACACTCTGGCTTTCCAGGGACAGTCTCTCAGAGATGCGCCGTCTAGGAGGAGCTGCTGGAAGATTCTTTTTCAAGGGCAGAGGAGGGGGAGAGGTGGGCTGCAAGGAGCTGGGGGCTGTCCCTGGCTTCATCTCTTCCTCCCTGAGGGGGCCCAGGCCTACAGCAGGGCGTGGGAGCCTCTCACAGGCTGTCATGGGTGGCTGGCTTGGGTAGCCTGGGGCATGGAGTGCAAGGTGAGAGGTGGGTACTAGGGGGGGATCGGGCAAAGGAGCAGCAGGTACAGGGGGTACACGAGGTGCAGGAGGATGGACTGGGCTAGCAGGAGGAAGGGTGGGCACTGGGGGTGGAGGTGGGGGGCGGCGTGGGGACCCCCTGGAGGTGGACGAGGTAGCATCCAAGGTGGCAGGCGCTGGGCGTGGGGGGCAGCTGCCAGGAGGTGATAGATCAGCCGGTAGGGCGCAGTCCTCAATGAAAATTGGGTTCACAAACCACAGGCGGTCGTTTCCCACTGACAGCTCAATTTCGCAGGAACAGTTTTCGTAATGTGTGCTGGGCAGGCGGCTGGAGGCTGCAGGGGCCCCAGGTGCAGGGCCTCTGGGAGGCTCAGCTGGGACTCTCGGAGGGTTCAGTAAGGAGTCCCAGAAGCCTGTGGAAAGCAGAGGAGAGGTGGTCAGCCCTCTAGGTGGTGGCATTTGCCTGTGACGTGGGGGAAGGGCTCTTGCTACAGCTTTAGGGTTGTTTTCCCCTCTTGGACTCTTAAACCTCTCCCACCACTTCCTGCCTGGAGGGGAAGTCCCCTGTACCTTCCCCAGCAGGGGTGGGTGGGGCAGGGAGGGGACATGATACGCTAAGCTTCAGTTCCCTGCGCTCACCATGGAAGGAACCTGTGACTCAGGGTGGCAGTGACTATGGCTCTTCAGCCAAGCAAGCTTGAGGCATGTGGGAGGAGGGACTGTGGAGACAGAGGGGACAAAGCTGTGGAGTTTCTGAAGCTGGCCAGCTGGAAGTCAGGCAGGTTTGTTTGTGTCTTGGGTCTCAGTCTAGCCATCTCGCCTATGGCGTTTCAACAGTAACATCAAAGGGTACCAGAATGGAACCCTATCATGCCAGGAACGGGACCAGGACCCATGAAGGCCACTGCAGTTGCCATACACAGGAAGATGGTACTAGTAGTGCATTATGGGTGTCGGAATTAGTCTTGTACCTGTCCACTGCAGGCCACTGTGACTCCAAAGGATCTTGATGCTAACTGAGGAGCTGGAGCTGGGCCAGGGGACAGGTAAGGGTTTAGCAAGCACAGGCTTCTACCACTGAGCAAGCCACCCCTGATGGCTACCTACTGACCAGTTCTTGTAGCCTCAGCTATGGATGCAGTCACCAAAGCAGGCCTGACTTGGGAGATCTTGGTCTCTGGGTACCACATTCCAGCAAACACCCAGGGTCACTCAGGAGCCTCCCAAAGGGCACAGGGACATGGCCTAGGAGAGCAGGCCATGCTAAGCCCATGTGAGTGGCTCTGTCTGGAGAGGAACGTGGGCCTGAGGTCTCACTCTACATGGCCATTTTATGGGTGGGAAAGGCATGGCCAGGCTGGGGCAGGATTCCTGGGGAATAATGGGAATGGCCTCTTTGCCAGAGCTCCTCAGAAGGACAACTATTCAAAGCGACATCAAGGATGACACCAGAAATGAACACTCACAGTTTCTGCCCTGTGTCAGCTGTGTGCTATGGCTATACCTGGACTTCCTTGATGATCTCAGGTCATAAGCCTTGTCTCTACTTTACAGATAAAGATATGTGACTCAGGTCCCAGGGCCTGGCAGTTTGAACTGGTCAGACCAGTCCCTTGCTATACTATGTACCCCATTCAGAGGAACTTGTACCACTTCCCACCTCTGGTGGGTGTTTCTGCCTGTCAGTGAGTAGAGGTGACTCGCACCCTAGCTGGGGATGTGGTTAGAACACAGCAGGCACTTTTGTTTTTACTTTGTGGTATTGTGGATTGAACCCAGGCTCTCCCATTTGCTAGGAAAGCACTCTACCACTAATCTATATCCCCAGCCTTTAAAAAAAAAAAAGTATTTCAAGCCAGGCATGGTGGCGCACACCTTTAGTCCCAGCACTTGGGTGGCAGAGGCGGGCAGATCTCTGTGTATCTGAGACCAGCCTGGTCTACCTAGTGCATTCCAAGACAGCTGGGGCTACAGGGAGACCCTGTCTCAAAAAAAGATAAAAAACAAACAAACAAACAAACAAACAAAAAACCCAAACCAGAACAAAACAAACCAAAACAAAAAACCAAACAAACCAGTATTTCAAATTTTTTACTAAGTTCCCAGGTTGGCCTTGAACTTTCAATCCTCCTGGCTCAGCCTCTAGAGCAACTGGGATTACAGGTCTATACCACTAGGTGTGGCCATAACAGGCTCTTGGTAGAAAGGTCTGGAAGCCAAGTATGAGCCTGTTCTAAGGATGGGCATGCTCAAGGGCATGAGTCTCAGCGGAAGGTCTGAGGCTGCAACCAATCGATGTGAGCAGGGTGCACCCTCAGCAGGAAAAGCAAGCTGTGACTCACCCACTCGTGGACACCACTTATGGGACAGAGCATGGGTCTCACCACTCAGCTCTGTCCTGGACAGAGGCTCTTCTGTATGTCTGGCAGGCAGCTCAGATGACCTAGCTGTCACCATAATAACAAGATGACAAGTTTTCATGTGTCTTTCCCTAATATGCAAAGCTCCCTGTACATCACAGCCAGGGTAATGCATGGCAACAGCGGGCTCTCCCACGACCTGGGACCCACTCTTCATGATGGCCAGGCTATGGCTTTGCCTTCCAGAGTAGTGCCTCACCCCTGCATGACCAACTTTCAGTGCCCTGCACTGAACATACTGACGCTTTTGTTGGAGTAAGCATGGAAGCACTGTGCCCGTGTCAACACAAGCCCTGTAGAGCAGTCCCCTTGAAGACTTCCTAATGGGGAGCAGGCAGCAGGCAACCAGTATGACCCGAAGGTGAACTGCCCAGGCCTGGGGATCTGAGCTGAGCTCTGTCCTCACTGTCAGGGTCCCTTAAGACTTCCTGTGACAAGGCCAAAGTCATGGGGTAGCCAATGTCCAGAACTGCCCGTGAATGCCTGGGCACGTTCTCCCACCATTGCTTGTCTACATCATTCAAGGTCTGTGGAATCTGCCCCCCTAGATATCTTTTCTAGAATTATCCAGAGTCTTCACTCCAACTGCTGCTCTCTTCTTCCTGGACATGACACGTGCTAGCCCACTTTCAGGTCTTAGCTAATGTTATTCTCTCTGCTTGGAATTCTTTTCTACTTTCCCCATCTGCTAATCTCTTATTAATCCTACAAGACTGGGGTGTACATTGCCTGTTTGGAGGAAATTTCCTGATGCATGCAGGACTCCTGTGTCCCTAGATCTAGTATGCGCTCTGACTGTACCCACCACTGGGGCTCCCATTATCTGTTTCTCACTGACTGTTCTGCCAGACTCTGGGCTTCTAGAAGGTGGTACTGGTGTTTTACCCACCTGTGCCTCTCCAGAAGATCCCAGGATGGTGCTTGGCAAGAGCAGAAGCCTGATGTCAGCCCCCAATGTGTGTGAGTGAATTAGCTCAGCCAGAATGAAGTCAAGAGACTAGAGAATGGGACCAAGAGGTTAGTTAGGTGGGAACAGCCCAAGGCATGGGAGGATGAGGACATGAGGTGGTGAGAAAGGGAGACAAAAAGGAGGGTGGAGGAGCTCCAGGTAGGGAAGGACTGTCAACAGGACTTGGGGGTGGGTAGGGTTCTCTTGCAGGCAGGCAGAACAAAACAGCACATTTCCACCTCTTGATGGGATCTGGCAGATGTGAAGCAGGCATTGGGGTTCAGGGAAATGGGCTCAGTGCCCAAGATGCTGCTTGTCTGCTCCCAAGACAGGCCTGGAGGCTGTACCTGGGCAAGGTAAGGCAATGCTATTTCCAGGGGAGGGTGACACTGGGCACTGAGGGGCTGCATCACAGGGCCAGGGGCTATGGAAGTGGAGCAAGGGGGCAGTACAGGACATTATGCTTTAAAAAAAAAAGGAAGTTGGAAACTTGCTTTGCAGCTCGTAGAGAGCCAAGAACAGAGAAGAGGAACTCTATGTCGTGCAATCCCAGCAGTTGGCAGAGGTGTGGGGGCAGTGTCTGGGTGGTGCCATGCCAAGCCTTGGCTCAGCAGTCCAAGTTCCCCTAAAGAAGGGCCTGAACCTTTGACCAACTGAGGCAGCTATTTTGCTGGCCCTGTGGCTTTTGGAGGCTGAGCAGGGAGTACCCCTTGCCAGCTGCCAATTGCTACAGTGCTCTGAGGACCTGGGTTGTGCCAGGTGCCAGGTTATGGGCCCTGAGGACAAAGTAAGGTTTCATTTTGGAGCGCCCTGGGCCAGGCAGGGGATGGATAAATACGAAGGCTTCAGGCACCATGGAAATTGTTCAAAAGTCCAGTGAGTCTAAGGACTGAAACTTTTTTGGGTTGTTGGATCATCATTCAAACTCAAGTTTGTTTTTTTTTTTGTGTGTGTATGTATGCATGTGTTTATGTTCATGTGTGTATGGGTACAGATGTACCGTGGGTGTTGATCCTCAGGCTCCATCTACTTGATTTTTTGAGACTGAGTTTCTCATTGGAACTCACCAGGTAGGCTAGGCTGGTTGGCTAGGGAGCCCCAGGGATCTGCCTGTCTTCACTTCCCTAGTGCTGGAATCACAAGTAGGGTCCAGCATGACTGGATTTTATTTTATTTTTTTAAGTAAGCTTTAGGGCTCTAATTCAGGTCCCTGCGGCAAGTACTTTACCGACTAAGCCATCTCCCCAGCACCTCAAACTCAAGTTTTTAATGGATCTTTAGCAAAATTCTCAGTATACACTATAAAGGAAAACGAAAGATCCACACAAACTTGGCAGAGCTGTACAGCATTCACGTTCTGAGAAATATCTTTAAACCATTCAACATGGGGCTTGGGAGATGGCTCAGTGGTTAAGAGCCTTGGCTACTCTAGAAGAGGACCCAGGTTTGAATCCCAGCACCCACATGATGACTAACAATTGTCCCTGACTCCAGTTCCAGGGAAATCTGATGGCTCCCTTCTGACCTCCAGAGGCATTGCATGACATGGGTGAACTTACAAACATGCACCCAATACACTCATACAATTAAAATAAAAATATTAAAAACATTGAATGTGGATAGAATGCAGACATGTTTGAGAGTCACCACACATAACTCTACCACGTTCCTCTTGCACTTAGAATCCGCTGCATACAGCTCAGTGCTGAATTAAATCCTGTGCTAGTTTTATGGACCCAACTAGCCTGACACTCTTGTATCCAGGATGTTACCCTATATGGCCTGAACTGATGAATGTTGTCTTTTCCAAGGCCAGACTTGGCTTTTCTTCTGTGAGCTTATGAAAGAATACTTGGAGCATCCAGTGCTGAGCCTGCAAGAGAATAGCTCGGCCTGCGTGACATCATCCCAGTCCAAACAGCAGGGCTTAGCCTACTCATTAAAGAAAGAAAGGAAAGAAGGAAAGAAAGAGTAGAATGTTAGGAAAATAAAGCCGCTGACACTGAGGAAGGAAACACACACACCTCAAAAACTAAGCATAATTGTGCGACCCTCAGGTGCGCTACAAACCTGGTAACTACCGCTACATAGATGCTTCTTGACTCACACATATGTTTGCACAAAACAAAAGCAAAAGACAAGATGCAGAGCGGTATCTTTTGCAGCAGTCGAGGGGTTGCCTGTGGTTTTCAGCCCCCTCTCTTTCTGGTCCTGTCAGTTAAAAAGAAATGCACATATTGGGGTTGTATAATAAGAAAAAGATGCTATAAAAAGAAGTAATGGGAGAGTACAGTTCAGAGAGAGGGCTTTCGGCCTTCTGTACCCCAACACCAACTCCAGGCCGCCTTGGTAAAAGGGTACCATGTTGCTTTCCACCGGAGGAGGGAGCGGCAAGCAAGGCTAAACGATCAAATGTCAGCAGAAGTCTAACCCTGAACGTCCCGTGTATGCATCCGGCTCCTATCACACCCCAGTACAAGAAGCCTCACAGTGTCTGTCTGTCTCTCATCTCAACTGAAACACTATTCACATAATGTACTTATTAAAGAAAATTTTTAGTATATTCACAGTCATGTAACTCTTACTGTAATCAATTTCAGGGCATTTTAACCACCCCCAAAGAAACCCCATGCCCATTTGTGTCATGGTTTGAGTGTGCAATGTAGGTTCATGTGTTCAAACATTTGGTCCCTAGCTGGTGACACTACTTTGGGAAGGCGCAGAACTTTTAGGAGATGGGGCGTTGCTGGAGGAAGTGGGCCACTTGGCAGATGGGCCTAGAGTTTTAGACCTTGGTCCTCCTTCTGGTGGACCTTGCCTTTTCCTCTTGTTTCCTGATGGAGATATGAGGTATCCTAGCAACACGTTCCCACTGCCATTAACTCTGCCACGAATTTGACATGATGGACTCTATCCCCTCAAACCATGAGCCCAAATAAACCTTTTTTCCCTTAAATTGCTTCTGTCAGGTATTTTGTCATAGCAATGAGAAAAGTAACTGATGCAATCTGAATCACTAACTTGCTTTCTGTGTCTATGAATTTGCCTACTCTGGGCCTATACAATGGAGGCACAGATGTACTTCCGAGACTGGCTTCTTTCACTAAGCACTGTGTTTTCATCTGCATTGTACCATGAGCCAGTGTTTCATTTCTTTTTATAGCTGGATAACCTTCTTTGATGATTTGAGTTTCCATCGCCTCATCCATCAATTGGGAAAAAATTAGAAAATGAATGTGCGTACCTAAGTCAATGAATTTCCCTCCCACTGTGCTTTTGGTTTTCCTGGAAATGCCTATTGGATCAGGGGAACATGGCTCTAAGACCTTGAGACTGGCCAGTGAAATGCCTGATTCTCCCTGGGGTTCCTGTGTGAAGAGCAGTGGCCAAGTGGGGTTGGGGCTGAGGCTGGAGGCAGAACCTGGTAGGCTGGAGTAGTCAAGGGGCTGGGCTCTGAGCAGACAAAAGGGCTATTGCAAAGAGCAAGGGGCTGGAGTGCAGGGCAGAGGCTGTTGCCCCCAAAGTCTGATGACACTCTAACTCCATTTCTGAGAGATTCTCCAGTGTTTCTCCTTTCTCTCTTCCCCCCTGGCTAGTTTTAGTGGGTTTCAGCTGTTTGCTGTAACATGTCATTGGCCCACAGACTGCATGTATCCCAGGATAGCTATGAACATGGTCCAACACAAACTCATAAAGTTACTTAAAACATTGAGGTTTTTTTTTTTTTTTTGGTAACTGTGTGGTTATCAGACATGAACTTCATAGGTGATAACATCCTGTGGCAATGTCAGAAGGTTGGACATGTTTGGTAGAAGGATAAGGCGATGTGCTAGACATGATGCCTCTGGTGTCTGGGCCCTTGCAGATGTTCTCCGCAATCACCATAGCATCTGAATGAGCTGGGGCCAGACCACTGGCCTCTGACAGCTCCAGGTCTCCATCTATTGAGGGGATGGATTGGAATGCCAACCTCTCCTTGGCTAGAGTCAATCTGCTGATCCTGGCTCTGTGCCCTTCCACCCTATGGACACCTGGACTGATCAAAACCCTCCAGGTAGTTCCTCAGCTGCACCATACATGTGTTTCAATGTCCCAATCTCAAGGGAATACGTGTTGGGCAGGCCAGTCTGCATTGCTCTCGATTTCTTGCATGATGACCTCTGTCTCTAGCCCACTCTGTACCTGAACCAGGCCGGTCTGTTCCAACCAGGAATGTGGCTTACTTGAATCCAGTATGCTCCTAAGCTGTTCCAGCAAAAGGAACCTACAGGGAACCCTAGGTATCAGCCCCAGTGACTTTGTCTGAGCCCCACAGTAGGGCCAAGGGGTATATGTGAAGTTCACTGCTCATTCCTGGTAAACTGGGTAGACCAGCATAGCAGAATCTTCTAACTTTAAGGAACAATGTGAATCAGGTATGAACTCTGGAGTCAAACGGACTAGGTTCAAACCCCAGCCCTGTCATGACAGTGGCATAGGAGATATTACTTGACCTCTTGTACCTTAGCCTCCTCCTCTAGATAGTACTCTCTATTTTACTTTTGAGACAGTCCCTAGTCTTCATGAATGAACAAATGCAGCCCAAGAAATTAGAACACAGCTGAAGCGCATTTGATGCTAACCTCAAAGGCCTGAGCCCCTCGGCTTCCCGTCTTTGTCCTCGGACTGCCTTTGGATTTCTTACACTGCTGTCCCTAGGCCTCTCTGGGAGGACGACAGCAGCCTGGCCTGGGAGCTGGGGTGGGGAGTGATTTTCTTGGGTCTGAGGTCTGTCTCTTACTCTCTGACTTCCTCTGTGACCTGAGTCTTCAATCTGGGTCAGTTTTCTGTTTGACAAATCAACAGTGGTGGTCAGCGCATCCAGTGTTCCTGGTACTGAGATCAGGCCCAGACATCTTAGTGTCCTGTACACAGTTGAGCTGTAAAAATGACACTGTGTCCACAAACCCAACCTGGCTCTGATAACTGAAGTCCTGGGCCTCTGCCCGGGCACTGGCTGCAGAGGCTGTTGAAGCTAAAACATGCTACCCTGAATGCTATGCTGATGTAGGAGAATTCCTGTCCCTGATACATGCTGGCCTAGTGTCCCAGCAGTTACCAGCTTGAATCTTGGCTTTCCCAGGGCCAGCATGAAGGCCCAGGCTTGGTCAGCATTAGTGGATCCCGTCCCGTCTGAGCCCTCAGCGTGGCTAGACACAATGGATGCCTGGACTGCTTTTGCAGTTACACTGAAGGGTGGAGGTCAGAAGTGTTTTGGACCCCCCCCCCCAATAGAGTCCCTTGGTTGGGCAGAGGGAAGGCCAAGGGCATAAGGGGCATGCTCCAGTTCATGACTGTACCCATCCTGCCTTTCCTCCTGATGAAGGCAAGGCTAGGACCCGGGCCAGGGCTGTGGTAGCTGCAGGGTGGACTCTGGCCAGCTCTCAGAAGAAGAGCCTTGCTGTTGGCCTTGCTTCCATAGTTCCTGGCTATTCATGGGGACCTCCTGGCCAGATGCCTAGAATCCAGAGGATCTCCCTACCTCTGGCTCAGTTCAGCATTTCTGGGCCAGGAGTAGGAGTGGCTTGCTCCCAAGCTGGGATTCGAGATCTAGCACAGTGTCAGCCAGGAGCCTCCCTTTGCACAAACCACGGGGGATGTCCTAGTACCCCTTGCCTTAATTCCCACCTGCTCCCTGCAGAGAGGACTTACCCAGGCCTAGGTTGGAGATGATCTCAAGGTCTGGGAAACTGCTGGCCTCAAGGATGGCTTGGGGCAGCCGCAGTGTGAAGGGCAGCAAGTCTCTGTGAAGATAAGAGGGACACAAGTCAGGCATTGGAGGGGTCCAGCGTGCCCACTCCCCCATCCTCCAGATGCCCAGACCTGCATCCCACATTCCATGGGGCTTTCTGTAGTCTGAACATTTCCTGGGGCCAAGAGATAAGGCTGAGGTCCAGGGGGCAGCCTGCTGAATTCAGATCTGATGCCAGCACCAGGGAGCCCAGGATTTGGGAGAGCCCTGGGAGTAGGGAGGGACACCTTTCTTCTCTTGGCCTTACAGGCTCGGGCTTTCTTTAGGCATGTTTAGTGACCTCTGCCCTTGCCCTTCACATGGACATACAACAAGCACAGGGACACAGATATGCATGTAGCTGGCTCCATCTGCTGGCTGATCTCTAAAAGCCATTCAGACAGAAGGAAACAGACCAAGAGAGGGGAAGGGTTTGGCTCAAACACCACCGTGGGCTGGAAACAGAGGGTGAGGAGCCCTGTCCTCCAGACTCCAGCCCAGGGCTGCCTCTTGGGCTAGGATGGCTGGTCCTGAGTCTACATTTCATCCTGGCATTCAGGGCCTGTCCACTATCTTTCAGCCTTTTTTCTTGCTCTGATTCCTTATCCAGTCACCTCTCTCTTAGCCTGTCTCCTCTATGTGAAGGCAGGAATCAACCAGAGGACCAAAAGGAGGCACACAGTGGACCTCAGAATCAGGAGCAAACAAGACTAACAACCTGGCCCATCACTGGCCCCTCATGCCCACCCACCTCCTCCCCAACTCAGTTCTAAGAAAAAAAAAATCCATTCATCCATTCCATCCATCTGTCATCTACTGAGAGCCTTCCCTGGTAGCCTGGAGAGCCATCTTCCTCTGCCTAGGGCCACCACTGCCTCCCTGCCTGTCTCTCCTCTCCCTGTAACCCTAAGCTGGGGGGCCTCTAGCTCCTGGCAGCGGTGGAACAGTGTCTCGTGTCTCAGATACCTTGCAGTGGGCAGCATACACCGTGGAGACCAACAGACAGACATGTTTGGACTGGAGGACTGAACTGGAGGACTGGACTGGAGAGGGAGTGGCATCGATGGCTGGGATGGGGCTGGCAGAGGGTGCCCAGATCACCCTTCAACTGCCTGTGGTGCCTCTGCTTGGTGACACTGATGGCAACTTCTGCAATTGCCCCACCCCCCTGGAGCACCATTGAGATGTGACTGTGGCACAGTCAGGGCTGTCTTGTGAGTCCTTGTGGGGGGGGTAGCCTTTGACTTCTTTACTGTCAGATGGGAGGGGCTGACAGTGGAGTGTCCACCTTCACTGTCATTGTTGTGTGGCTCTCCTGTGAACACGAGGCCATCTGATGCCATTCACCTGTCTCTCTAGGCAAGTCTGGCCCAGCCCCATTCTGGAAAGTTCCTCAGTGTCCCACTACCATCTCAGGACTGCTCATTACCTTTACCACTTTTAAAGGGTAGCAAAATTCCTCTCTCAAGTTGCCTTGCCTCAGTTTACTGGATGGCTGCCTGCTTTGTTGGTGTAGTTTCAAGTGCCTATCACAGCTGCCAGCAGAGGTCACTCAGCTCACAACACTGCCCGCAATCTCTAGTCACTTCATTGTCATTCTCAAGACATCCAGGTCATCCCAGCCTCAAACTCCGACACCAGAAGACAGCCTGGGCCCTGCTCTGCCTCTCCAGAGAGCTCACTGCACACTCCATGCCCCACCCCTCAAGATATTCACTTTCCTGTAGTGAATCGCCTTGTTCAGTCACCTCTTCCCTCCACCCACATCTGCTTAGATGCCACCATGGGCCTCCTCTTCCTCCCCGAGCTGCTTCTCAAGGGTTTGGTTCACCTCTGCTCCCCATGAAGGGCAGTACACAGGACTCAGCCATATGATAGGGAAACACTACGGGCCTTATATCATATGATATTATATCAGGATAACCCCACAGGTAGGCATTCATTCTGGCTTTACAGTAGGTAACACAGAGGTTCAGAAAGGTTAAGAGACTTGTAGTCCAAGACCACCCAGCTAGGAAAGTGCCTTCATTCAGCATCGTGAATCATATTGTTTTTTAAGCAAAAAGGGACTATCATCATTTATGGAGGTCTATCAATTTACCTCTAATTTCCTGCCCAGTCCTTAAAACCAGCCTGAGAGCAGACACAACTGCTATCTTCACTTGTTAAAATGTCAGACTTTGGTGCCAGCAAGATGGCTCAGCCTCCAAGCCTGATGACCTGAGTTTGATCCTTGGGACCTGCACTGTGGAAGGGAAGAACCAAATCCCACAAACTGTCCTGACCTCCGTACTCACATCATGGCTCCGGCACCCAGACAAATAAATAAATGAATATAATACAAAATGTTAGGTGGAACCCAGGGTCTTATGTCTGCTAGGCACATGTTCTCCCCAACCTTAGATCCTTTTTGTTTTGTTTTGTTTTTGAGACAGGGTTTCCCTGGAGTCCCAGCTGGCCTGGAACTGGCTATGTAGACCAGGCTGTCCTTGAACTCACAGAGATCCACCTGCTTCTGCCTCCTGGGTGCTGGGATTAAAGGCATGGGCCACCACACCTGGCTTTTTTTTTTTTTTAATTCAAAACAAACGCATTCTTTTCTTTCTCTCACTCTCTCTCTTTCTCTCTCTCTCTCTCTCTCTCTCTCTCTCTCTCTCTCTCTCTCTCTCTCTCTCTCTCTCTTGTCTTTTTGAGACAGGGTCTCTCTGTAGCCCCAGCTGGCCTGGAACTCATTATGTAGACCAGGCTGGCCTTGAACTCAGAAGATCCACTTGCCTCCTCCTGAGTGCTGGGATTAAAGGTGAGCGCCACCGTGCCTGACTGAAACAAACACATTTTCACTGCAACAGACTTAAATACTCCCAAAGTGTTTAAAATAAAATGTGTAAGCCCTCCATCTTCAGAGCCCCATTGCCAAGGTCTTAAGGCATGGCTGACCCCCTTCCCCCGTCTTTCTCTGCACACACACACACACACACACACACACACACACACACACACCTATTATCAAAAGCAAATGACAGCCTGTTTCCATGCATTGCTCTGTAGTCTTCTTTCATGCAATAATGAGGCTGGGAACATTCTAGTCTGTACTTGAACACTAGCTTCTTTCTTTCTCTGTTCCTCTGAGTGCTCCACAGGATGACTGTCACTTATTTTCTTCTTCAGATTGGCATCTAAGCTTATTTCTTCTTTGGTTTATGAGAGCACAGAGCTCTCATTGTGCTGGGTTCTGGTCTAGCATTTGATACAGGTCTTCTCTTAAATGCTTTTAAGGACTGCATGAAGTGGGCACTTTCACTAGACCCATTTCATAGCTGAGTAACCTGAGGCTCGGAGACTGACTGGCTTGGCCATCCCATAGCATATGGGTGTTTGAACTTGAACAAAGGCAGATTGGGTTCAAGGCCAGACTCTTTGCCCCTAGACTTGACTGATTTTTAGTGAAAAACTTACTTCTACACTACCGTTGAATCAAACAGTGCTGGTAGTTTTGCCTTTGGCTAGTAGTTTTTCTGCGTTGATTCCTAGAGTGGCTCTGCTAGGCTACTGAGTATAAAATACTTTTAAAAATGACAGCATTTCTCAAACTAATCCCATGCCTCAAGCTTGACCCCATTCTATTCTAATGTTTGTCCCCAGTTGATGGTGTCTGCCTGCTCCTCCAGATCCTGAGAACAATGACTGGACGGCCCACTTCTCCAATCTCAGCCCTAGTGGTGTTAGTGGTGGCCTCTGTCAGTGACGAAGTTATGCAAATTGTCCGGCTTGTGGTTTGGCCTAAGGAAATCTTAGCAGGGCATGAAGGTGTGGAAGCCAGGCAGCTGAAACCTAGTATAGTCACACACAAGTGTGAAGTCCTTAGGCCCTGGGGGATGCCAGGAAAGCTCTCAGATGGGTTCCTGCTTGTACACCCACCAACAATCAAAACCCAAAAGGGCACTGGACACTTTTGAGGAACTCTATCATGTTTTTAATGCTGTCTGTATTCTGCAGACTGCGTGGATCAGAACTTCTTGGGAGAGGCTAAAAAACACAAGGGTTCCTGATATTGGGCCGAAGGGAGCATATATGTGTGTGTGTGTGTGTGTGTGTGTGTGTGTGTGTGTGTGTGTAGTGTGGGGTGTATGTGGTGTGGGGTGGGGTGTATGTTGTGTGTGTGTGGTGTTGTGGAGGTGTGATATATATATGTATGTGTGTGGTGGGGTGTGTGTGTGTGTGTGTTTGTGTGTATGTGTGTGATGCACGGAGTTAACTCAAGGTCTTGAACACTAGACAAGCACTCTGTCACTGAACAGCACTGAGCGAATTCACACTTTCTTTTTAAATTTTGAGACAGGGTCTCCTTGTGGCCCAGCTGGCCTCAATCTAATAGATTCGTTTGCCTCTGCCTCCCAAGTACTGGGATTAAAGGTGTGCGTCACTATGCAGGGGCCCTGAGCTCACATTTTTAAACAATTCACACACAGATAGTAAATTGGTGGGGATCGTGAGGCTGGGATTTGTGGATCTCCCTCAAAGCAAAGGCCATCAAATGTTAAAATTAATCAAACTTCCAGATGTTCTACATATACACATGTATACCTATTTCCTTAGGAATTATAAAGCCAAGGACTGGAGAGATGGCTCAGTGGTTAAGAGCACTGACTGCTCTCGCAGAAGGACCCAGGTTTGATTTCTAGCACCCATATGGAGGCTGTCCACAACTCCAGTTCCAGAGGATCTGATGCCCTCTTCTGACCTCCATGGGCATTGTACAACATGGGTGCCCCTACATACATGCAGGCAATATACTTGTACGCATAAAATAAAAATAATAAACAAAATATTAAAAGAGAATTGTAAACCCAAGTAAAAGGCACCACAAAAATAGAGATTTCTTTTTTTTTTTTTTTTTTTAAAGATTCAACTTAAAAGTAAGAAGAGAAACAAGGCATCTGTCTGGGTGTGTAAGGAGCACTGGTTTCGTGTAGATCCACCTCTCTGCCTGCAGAATGCAGGACCAAAGGCATATGCCAACACACCCAGCTAGAAATAGAGATTTTATTTATTTATTTATTTATTTATTTATTTATTTATTTATTTATGTTTTTTTGAGATAGGGTCTCCCTGTAGCCCCAGCTGGCCTGGAACTCTCTATGTAGACCAGGTTGGCCTTGATCTCACAGATATCCACCAGTCTCTGTCTCCCCAGTGCTGGGATTAAAGGCATGTAATACCCTACCTGGCCCTAGAAATAGAGATTTTAAAGGTGTGATTTTCAGGACAAATGTTTTAACACCTTCTCTCTCTCACTCTCCCTCTCCATCCCCCAGTCTCTGCCTTTCTCTGGAGATCCCAATTCTAACTAAAACTTTTTGCTTTTGACCAGGGGTATGTAAGACACACAAAGCAACACACACACACACACACAGAGACACACACAGAGCCACTGAATTAATTTTCTGTCCCTCTCAGAGGGGTTTTCCAGTGCCACCATTCGGTTCTCTGATTCTCTGGACACCAAGCATCCAACTGTTCACTGTGGTCCCATTACTGGTTACCTGGAGCTGGAGTCGGGCTCTGTACACTTCGGGGCTCAGTCCATGAGATCCCCTATCTCAACCACCAGTCCCAAGTCCTGGGCCAGCAGCATTTCTGAGCTCCTGGTGTAACCAGTGCTTCCCAGGCACAGTGCTGATAGCTAGTTTCAAAGGTGGGACTGACCAGTGAGCCGCTCCCTCATCTAGGAGAGGGGGGTGGGGTCTCTGCTGGGCTGTCTGAGGGAGGACAGGCCATTGAGGCTCATTCCTTCCTTCCTCATTTTTAGGCAACCACTGACCCTGTGCTGAGTTATACTAAAGCCCAGCCCCCAGGATCCTGGTAAAGGGCTTATCTGAACAGCTGACACCACGGACATGCTCAAGAAGCCATGGGGCTCAAGTATCATCACCTGGGAAGGAGGCCCCACCATCTCCCAGCTCTGCCTCTGTTCGGCAGTGACTGTTAGTGACTGTTGGGTGGCGTCTCTTTGTGGGCCTAGGTGACTACAGTGCCCTCGGCTTTTCTTTCTCTTCCCCTCTCTCTTACTACTACTCCTACTGTGGCCACATTGCACTGTCTGGAGCCGTGTGACCGTGGCTGACAGCATGGCTCATACAGCTGTGAACAGTGAACAGAAGTCCAAGCAATTCCAGTATCATCCTGTCCTCTCCATGGAGCTACTTCTAAGGCTGCCTGTGGCTTTCCAGTGGCCAGACCTTCATACTTCTTCCTCTGCCTAGAAGGCTTCCTTTTCCTGCCATCCTTCTTGGCCTCCCACATCCTCTTTTCTATAAGGAGGGCCTCCTGTCTCCATGTATAGAGGGGACAGGCTGCAGGGGAGCAACACACACATCCTTTCTACCACAGGCCTGGTACAACGGCTGTACTCAAGTCTGGCTCAGAACTTGGCTGAGCCACTTGAGGCCCATCACATTCACGCCTCAATTTCTTCATCCCCAATTGCACAAGAACACATGCAGTGGTTTCCTGAGCACTTACTTGGTGCCAGTTGCTCTGCTAAGGCCCCAACACAGGTCCTGAGTGCAGTGCTGGGGAAAAGAGCTACCGGTCTTGTGGTGTGTGACTGTGGGTGTTAGAAGAGTTGGGGGTAGCACCCAGCATATGGACGCCCAGGCAGCAGAGGCTGATTATGGGAATCTGTTGGCACACCACTCACACCCTTAGTCACCTCATCAGCTCTGTACACTTAATCACCAGACCTCTGGGCCCTGTCAAAAGTAAAAAGCTTTAGTAGAACTTGGGTTTCCCTCCAAACAGGGGGTTGCTCCTAAGGACTGGCATCTGTAACCTCTTATCCTGGCATGCTAGAAGCTCACAAATCCTTGAAAGTGGCCCTCAAGCTGTCAGGCCCTATGGGTAAGAAGGGCGAGGTTCCTGTTCTGATCAAATCTTCATTGTGCATTGACCTCTAGGGCCGGTATGTCATATCCTGGGAATGTCTCTATGAGTAGCCACCAGTTCACAGGGACCTCAGGTGCTCAGTGGGGAGAAGGCTCTGTAGAGGAGGGGGCCGGTGGGTTTGCTCAGGGCTGGACCTGGGTTCAGTGTGGCGATGGGACATCAGCACATCCACTGGAGGTGACATGAAGCTGTATGAAATATCTTTGGCATGTTTCATATTTCTGGTATGTCCAGCTGCCTCCAGTGTTTGGTTCTGAAGGAGTCTGTAGGTGGGGTCTTAAGAGTTTCACAGTTGCAGACTGATATCTAGTGTTCCTTCTGGATAATATCCCCTGTAAGAGAGGCAAACGGTGCCAGGAGAGCTCAGGCCACTGGTCTGGGGTCATACAGCTGCAAGGTGATGAGTCTAACTCCAGGCTCCTAAGATGTCATGACTCAGGCTTTGTTGCCCGACATACCTCCCTCAGAACAGGGTCAAGCCAGTCTCTGTGTCCCATGATCTCCTTCAGAAATCCCTGGGAGTTTGAAGACAGAAGAACAAGGCACCTGCTTCTCTGGAATGTGGAAAAACAGCAGCCAGAGGAGGAAGGTTGGAGGTGACAGGGTGAGCTTGGTGACTGGCTCCTGATCTCCCTGGACACAAACTCTATGCCCCAGAAAACTCCCTGATAGCCCAAATGCCAGAGATGGGACAACAGCACCCACAGTGTTGGACATTAACTCACCCCTCCTCCAGCATCAAAGTAATTGACACAATCACTTCCTTTTATAGGGGAGAAAGTTGAGACTCTGAGACATTAAGTAACCAGATTAATATCTGGGATCTGCAATCATTCATTCACCCATCCATCCATCCATCCATCCATCCAT